AAAAATAAAATAAAATAAATTAAAACAAAAAGGAAAAAATTAAGATTTCTTGAAAGCAGGCATCAATATTCAATTATTTCCCCAATCCTGCATAACTATATCTGTTAATCTGAGCAACAGATTTGATGATAAAAATAGATAATATAACAACCATTGTTAATTAGCTATTCCTGTTTTGAAAATCCGTAGCATATGTATTATTATATGTTACCCTGTTTCTCTATTTTTTCTATTTGTTTCTGCTTCAAAATAAAATTAATTTCTTAAAAAAAAAAAGAGTGAACAACAATGTAACTAGAACTGAGAGCCCTAACAAACCATGTGGCAGGGTATTAACTAAATTTGGACCAACTTCAAATGACTAAAACACTACCAAGTATATTCTCAACAAAAATAGAAGGAAATTTAAAAAAACAAAATTTGGGGGAATTCACAAATATGAAATTAACACACTCCTCAGTAAAAGTAGTAAAATGAAGTCAAAGGAGAAATTAGAAAATACCTTAAGAATGAAAATAACATAATGTACAACAGTAACAAAACTAAAAAACCTTAGGACTGAAAATCTTAGAATTAGAAATAAAAGCAGACATTACGAACAACTTTACAGAAGTGAAAGGAAAGTAAGGGGCTGGGGAGATGGCTCAGTGGAATAAGCGTTTCTCTGGCAAGTGCAAGGGCCTGAGTTCAATCCCTGGTTCCGCAAAAAAATAAATAAATAAATAAATAAATAAATAAAATAAAGATTGACACGACACAAATTAATTCCTAGTAACATACAAATTTTGGAAAGTATTACAGGGAAATAATAGAAAACGTGTGACTAGCATGACAGCACATGCCTGAAATCCCTACCACTTAAGAGGTTGAGAAATTTAGACCATATCTCAAACTTTTTTTAACAAACAGGGCTAGGGCACTAAAACATCACTGAGTTCAATCCTGAGTACAAGTCAATAAAATCAAGTAAAAAAGAAAGACAATTTAAATAGGCCACACCAAGTAAAAAGACTGACTTAGTAACCAAAAAAACAACACACAAAGAATAGCCCAGGTTCAGGCAGTCACACTGCCAGATTATACCAAATATTTCACATGAAGTGTTCATTACAGAAGAATACTTCTTAACCTCATTCTATAAAGTCACTGACACCAAACCCAAAGACAGTATAAGAAAACTACAATCAGTGTGAGTATGGGTGCAAAAATCCACAACATAATAGTAAAACGAATCAGCAGTATATAAAATAATACAAAGACCGGCCAGATAGCTCAGCAGATTAAGGCGCCTGCTTAGGCAGACACAGAGACTGAGGTCCGATCCCAGAGTGTGCTGAGAAGGCAACTGAAACTGGGTGTGAGGGCCGGGGAGATGGCTCAGTAGAATAAGTGCTTCCCTAGTAAGGGAAGCAATTCAATTCCCAGTTTCACCAAAAATAAATAAAGAAATGTTTAAATATAAATAAATGTAACTGAGTGTGTTGATGCACATGCACCTGTAATCCCAGCACTTGGGAAGCTGATACAGCAGGATCACTACGAGTCCAATCTGTTAGTGCCACCCTGTAAACCCTATATTAAATGCATACAAATAGAAAAAATAAAATAAAATAATACACAACAAAGTAGGACTCATCTCAGGAATCCAAAGTTGGTTTAACATCTGAAAATGGAAACTCATATTCTGTTATTAGAAATGAGGACATCAGGGCCAGTGAGACAGCTCGGCGGACTGAGCACCTGCTTAGGCGAGCGCAGAGACCTGATCCTCAGCACCGCATGTTGTGCCAGCCAATGCACACCTACACTCCCATCACTGGGGAGGGTAGGAACAGGAGGATCACTATGAGTCCAAGCTGCAGAGTAAGACCCTGTACCAAGTACATTCAAAACAAGAAATAAGGACATCATTTTTTATTTTTTAAAATTTTTATTTATTGGGAAATAAATATGAATGAGACAGTTTCATAGCTGATTAATAGGATAGTTTTGATAATCAATACATTGTACATTGTTATCTTCTTAGTGGTTATCCATAGTACAAGAAGCAGACAGGATATTCTGTCCAAACACGGTTAGTACACCTCTTCTCATTGAATTAAGCGAAAGTAGCCGTAAATTTATCCTATTTTGTATATATAAATACAAAATGATCTTTCCTTTGTATCCTTTTTTTTTAAACTGTCTGTCAGAGGTGAATATTCTATTGGTATCTAAATACTATAGGCGTTTGAATTCAACTAAACAATCTAACTAGCAGTCTATAACATTAGTGGGTTATCCTCAGAAGTTACTGACTTGAGTCTTTTACAGCTCATCGTATTAATATGGCTTTACTTTATATACCTCGTTTTTATACTTTTCTGCTGGATGGTTAACACTAAGATATAGCAAGACCTATATAACAAGAAATGTAACTTTTGTATCTGACAAGGCCAGTCAAGCACCCTCAGGATTCATCCTGTAGCCCATACCGCCCTTTGTATATCCTTTCGTCAGTGTCAGACATGAGGATGAGTCATGGCCACTGCTTGACCAATTTGCTCTCTATGAAAGCCTGAGAGAATGTTTTTTCGCTCCATGTGACTCTTCCCAGGCACACTATACATCATCGAACACATTCCTCTTGTGGCTCCATAATCTTCTTGATCAGAAAATTTGGAGCACAACTGAATTATATGTTGTTACAGTACAGGTTCTCCTATGAAGGACATCATTTTGAGCACAGAATTTAAGATTATTTAAAAAATTAATTCCTCATGACACAGTTTATTACCTCTTAAGGTAATTATTAGACTTTTTTTTGTTTGAAAAACCATGTCATTAAAAATAAGTATGTAATTTGAACTCAAGGATAACAGCTTACCTTAACATTTGACTTCTTTGAGAAATTTACCACTACTCCCCAGCCAAAGTCATCTCCTTCATTCTTTACCTGAAAATAAGCAAGTACACCATAATACATCACAAAGGCTAGTGCAGCTTCCCATCCTGATGCTGTAAGATAGAATTTTTTTTAATTTCTTACTATTTTCCAAAGATAAATGCTAGATTCAAGTGCCAAGATCTTAATTTTATAGGAAAAAAGAAAAGACAACGACCATAGGTCCTTAGAATAGGATTCAACTGCCAAACAAAATGAGTGTAATTTATTTTAAGAATATTTTAAGTTTTCTGCATTTAAAAACAATGTAAGAACATCTAAAATGAGATTTAGATAACATTTGATAATCAGAAATATTTTATATACTAATTCCAAAATTATTTCAATTTGTATTTCCCAAAATGAAAACCACTGGTGATTTTCAAAAAGGCCTTTACAAGGCCCATCAATTAGTGTCATGAAAGAGGTAAAATAATAATAGATCAATTATTGTAGCAGGAAGCATTTTACGTAGTAAGTACTAGATTTTTATCCAAAATATTTTAAAATACGGAAACAGTGAAATATTTTATGAATAACATACCTTTACCAAACGACCTGGCTGTAGAAACGGTAAGCAGTATTTTGGTTTATGAATATATTCTTCAATTTCTTTACCCAATTTGGCAAGCTGCTGTCTAATCTTGTAATAGATGACTACGCTTTCTTCATTGGGAATTACTATTTTATTATACTGTTGTTCCGAGTTCTTAACCTCTGAAAGTAAAACATACATATAACACACTTATATATATTATATCCATCAATTACATTTTTTTCTACTACAAGAGCAAGTATAAGGAACAAAGTCAGTTTGCACAGAACGCACTGAAGTTCAAAGGAAAAGATTCTCTAGAGATGATTTAAGGCTTGGGGCTAGTTATCCCCTTCCTTCTCCATTAAGGTTCACCTCAGGTCTCAGCCTATGGCCGCTATCCTCCTGCTGTACAATTCTACTCACTGCCCTAACTCTACCTCTAATGTTGACTTCCCTTCCTCACTCCTGCCAGAGCGCCTCCAATCCATTGTTAACAAAATACTTTTGTTGTGATAAAATACACACAACATAATATTTACCATGAGTGATATTTAGTATATTCACAATGCATACAATCGTAACCTTTATAAGTTCAAGAACCTTCCCACCACTCCAACCTGAAACTATACCCATTAAGAAAATACTTCATTTTTTACCTTTGCAAATCCTTCTCTGTGCTTGCTGTCTCCATGGATCTTTCTATTCTAAGATTTCATATATATGGCAACAGGCAAGATGTGGCATTTTATGTCTGGCTTGCTCTCATTAAGCATGTTCCCATGAGTTATCTATACTGAGCATGCACTAGTAGTACTTCATCCAGAGTGTCTGGATAATACTCTACTACAGGGACATACTACATCTGTCAACAGAGCTATCAGCTGATGGACATTTAGACTGGTTTCACTCTCTGCTTACGATGTGTGGTGCTGCTATGAACATCCAACAAGTTTCTGACTGAATCTTTTCTTTTTTTTTTGCAGTACTAGGGATCGAACTCAGGACCTTGCACTTGCCAGGCAGGCGCTTATGCAGCTGAACTATGTCCCCGGCCCGCAATTCTTTGGATATACAACCAGGCATGGAGTTGCTGGGTGATGTGGTAGTTCTATATTTAACTTGATGAACTGGCAAACTATTTTCCATAGTGATCACAACATTTTGTTGTCCTCCCCACCCCCTTTTTTTTTTTTTTTTAGTTCTAGAGATCAAACTCAAGAGTCTGGCATTGTTGTGCATCTGAAAAATAAATATGAAATGATCAGAAATATTAAGGGAAGAGTAAACTGTTTTATGCTGTCATTCACATAAGTTGTTTTTTGGGTTTTTTTTTATAGAGAAAGAAATTGACTTCTTTGGATCTTTAAGCATTTTTCATTCCCCTAAGGCATAGTAGAGTTTAACTGTGCCTGTATTAAAAACAAATAAATTGTTCCCTTTGTACTAGAGATAAAAAGGAATCTATAGTTTGCCACTACGAAATAAACTCACTAAACATATTTTTAAAGACCATTTCACAAATTTAAAAGCCAGAAACAATGAGCTAGTGAATGTAAAGTGTTTAACACAAGGCTAGGTATAAGGTAAATATTTAACTAATATTAATTAAAAATAGCAGTTATTGCAAAAACTGCATGTGCCTTTTAGTTTAAAAATAAAAAAGCACATGTATGAGAAAGAACAAACTACAAAATATTAACAGTGGTTTTTTGGGGTTTTTTTGGGTGGAACCAGGATTGAACTCAGGCCCTTGCACTTGCCAGGGAAGCGCTTATTCCACTGAGCCATCTCCCCAGCCCCTTAACAGTGGTTTTACAGTTGCTTTTGTGTAAGAATAATTTTAGCTTTCTTCATTTGCTGCATTTTGTATTTCCATTTTTATGATTATGCACTGTACTTGTAAGATTAAACAAGCCTATACCTTAAAAAAGTCTTGGTTTTTACTCAGATCTATGTGATGATCAGTTATACTACATGAATGTACTTCTATAGAACTTAGTTTTGTACTTCAGAAAACACGATATTAAGAAATGGAAATTTGGGGCCAGGGAGCTGGCTCAGTGGAATAAGCACTTCCCTGGCAAGCGCAAGGGCCTGAGTTCAATCCCCAGTTCTGCCAAAAAAAAAAAAGTATATAAAAAGATACACACACACCATAAAATTAAAAAAAATTAAAAAAAGAAATGGATATTCTAGAGGGCCAAGCAAATAGCTCAGAGGATTAAAAGCACCTGCTTAGGCAGACATATTGGCCAGGATTTGATCCTTGGCGAGCTGTGCTGGCCCTGCCCCTGGGGTGCACTGAGAGGGCGATTAAGATTGGGTGTGGTGGTGCGCGCCTGTAATCCCAGCGCTTGGGAGGCTGAATGCAGGCAGATCACTGTAAATCCGATCTACATAGTAAGACCCTGTAAACCCTTACTAAAATACAAAAAAAAAAAAAAAAGATGGAAATTCTAAGAGTCAAACTCAAATCCAAGTTAAGATGCCATAGCACACTTAGAATGGTGAAAGATCAAGATTAAATATACAGATATTTCTTACAAGTCAAATTTTAATCTACCAGGCGTTATTTTATCATTCAGGGATATATATTATCTTATGATAGGTATACTTAAAACAATGAACTACACTATGGTAGAACCAATTCAAACAAGTGCTTGGCCAGTCTTTTTCTATTTTCACTTGGAATTGTTCCAGACTACAGTTCTGCAGTCCTTTATATAAGGATCAAGATTTGTCTCACTAGCAAAACACAAGGCCAACCTAGCCAAAAATATGGTTGTTTTATTCAATTTAGTTGAAAGAAGGGTGTTATGTTATTTTACACTTACTCTCTACTACTCCCGGAATTGCTCTGTAATGCTGAAATTGGTAGAAGGATTTTTCTAGCATATACTCAGGATTAATTTCTTCAACGCGCAGTAAGTTCAAAACCATGTTGTAGGTCAAATGGAAAGCACTATTGAGAGGATCAGCTGAGCCCTAAGGGAGAAAAACATGCCAATTTTATATGCTTTTCAAATATACTTTCACAAGTAATTTTAACCTGATAAAATGCTAATTACTTAATCTGCTAAAATCTAGTATACAATGTGATACAACACTAAGAAATACTGTTCTTGCTTTGACCAAAACAAAGTGCTAACAGTTCTCTTTGCCTTCCAAATACGCTCCACAATTGCTTTTTCCAGCCCTCCAGTGGGTGGCAGCCACAGTAGGTAGTGGAGGTAAACAACTAACTACTCTTTGGACCTATTTTTAATTGTCAGTGTTAAGACACAGGTATACGCAAAGACTTTGTGAACAAAACCCTGACTGCACAGGAAAAATTACAAGAATCAACTGGGATCACATCAAATTAAAAAACTTTTTGCACAGCAAAATAAATTATCAGCAGAGTGAAGAGACAACCCATAGAATGGGAAAAAAATTTTTAATTTTTCAAACAAAGGGCTACTATTTAAAATATAAGTTAAAAAAAAATTAGACCTTAAATTCAAAGACCCAATCCAAACACGGCATCTGCAGTAGACATTTCTCAGATGAAGAAGAAACAGCAGGAAATGCAAATTAAAACAACACTGAGATACCATCTCACCCTGGAAAGAAGTTAACCAATAACAAATGCTGGAGGGGATGTGGAGAAAAAGGAACCCTTTTTCGCTGTTGGTGGCAGTGCAGACTGGTACAATCGCTATGGAAATCAGTGTGGAGATTTCTCAAAATCCAAACCTGGGGGTTCCACTTGACCCAGCTATTCTCATTGGGGGATGTCCCTAAACAGTTAAAAGCACCATACCACAGAGACACGTGCATACCCATGTCTACAGCAGCACAGTTTATAAGAGTTAAATCTTGGAAACAACTCATATGATCACCAACAGATGAATGGAGAAATACAATGCAGTCCTGATACACAAATGCTGTACTACTCTGCCATAACGGGTAAAGCTGAATCATTGTAAGTAAATGGATGCACCCTGGGACCATAATTTGAAATGAAGACACCCAAGCTGAAATATCCCATTGTTTTGCTTGTTTGAGAAAGCTAAAGGGTAAATAAGGAACACAATGAACAGATAATCAAAAGTGGGAAGAACATGTTCAAGTGGAAAGGGAAGAAGGGAAGGGAGACGAAGAAAAGGGATTTTAGAAACAAAAAATGGAAGAAAAAAATGCAAACAATGGTGGGTGGAAGAAGGAGAAAGGGAGGGGAGGGGGATGAGAGAAAAAGAATTTAGATATATACAGGTGCAATTCCACATGAGCATGAGCATTAGATAAAACAAATGGGTATTAATAAAAAAAAATTTTAAATTCTTTCAAATGTCTTGTTTGAAACTGTTATTTCAGGTACATACAGAAGCATACTACTCGGTATGGTATAAAACTACTGCTCCCAAAGAAAGAACTTAAGAGAAATACTAGCCTCAGAACTGAACACTCAATTTAGTTATGAAAATTATAAACTCATCTTTCTTATGCATAAATACTCACAATAAATCTTTTGTTCATACAGAAGGACCCCAAGTACATATTAACTTTTGATTGTAAAACCCCTTCTGTCCATTAGCCCTGAAAGTCAAAACACAACCCCTCCCACCTTCACAGAGCTTACTTAGCTTACCCGCAGATAACTTCCATCATAAAATTTTTACTGATAATCAGTGCAAAATCATCTTAAATTTCCCTGAAATGGAATTACTAGAACTCATTTTCTAGCAGTAAGTCTTGCACTACTTTCAACACGTTCTATGGATCCTTGATCAGTCTGGTGATGGCACCTGCCTGTGGGATGGTGCCCCCATACTCTAAAGGACTCCAAGTTTGAACTATTTCTGGGAGATCCATAATAAAGAGCAAAGTAAAAGATACATTAGCAATTGGACAGAGTTTAGCAAAAGGGAAGGAGACCAAAGGATTGAGGGGGAGGAATGAAAAGCAAATAATGTGTTACGTGTATGCACCAACTCCCACGAGAAATGTAATCTTTATTGCAAATGTACTCACAAAAATTTTAAAAAATAAATAAGGGCTTGGGGTGTAGCTCTCTGCAAGTGTTCTGGAATCAATCCCCTTATGCCAAGCACTATCCAAAACACTTTTAAAAAATGTTCAACTGTTTCTTGGCTTTTGGGCTATGAAGTACAGTAAATTTTTAGGAACATGCATAATAAAATACTAAATACATAATTCCTGTACTGCGCTACATATACAACCCGATGAAAAGAAAATACATATATACAAACGTACATTAATATTCATAGCAGCACTAATCACAGTGGTCAAAAAAGCAAAAATGAACCGAACTGTCTATCGACTGATGATACAAATGTGGTATACCCATATAATGGAATCCACATCAATAATAAGGAATGCAGTATTGATACATGTTACAACATGGTGGAAACTTGAAAAAAGTCAGATGAATCTGTTTATCTGAAACATTCTGAATATGTACATCTATAGACAAGCAGGATTAGTAGTTGCCCAGGGCGTATTGTATTAAGGAATTTAGGGAGAGAAAAGTGATTGACACAGCTTTTGGGGGGTTACTGGACAATTCCGAAATAGTAGAAGACACAATATAATTTTTCAAATAGAGTTAACAAATGTCAAGTAAATGAAATGAAAAGTGAAAGAACCTGAGACTGTCATAAAAGTATAAACCTCCTACAACTGGTAGGAGGTAATGTCATCTTGCTTTTCCATACATAAGGTATGAGGGGAAAAATAATACTGGCACAGTTAAAACAAAACAACAAGAACAACAAAAAATCGGGGCCAGGGAGATGGCTCACTGGAATAAGCACTTCCCCAGCAAGCGCAAGGGGCTGAGTTCAATCCCCAGTTCCGCCAAAAAAATGAAAAATAAAAATAAAAATAAAAAACAAATTTTTGGTCATGTGTAATTTTCATTCCCTGAAGAACTAAATAAAGTTAAATAACACTAATGTAGTTCCAAGTATTCTTTTTAAAATATCATATGATCGCTATGAATATGTACATATTGTCTTCACTCACATAAAAACTGTATACACCTTTATGTATTCTTGCTTCAGCATATCCTAGTTCAAATTCTCCACAAAGTGCTTGAGTTTTGGAACAAAACAGTCTATTTCATATCCTGACACATCCTACCATGACTCAAAGCTTCTTTTACATAAAAAAACAAGCTGGCAATCAATATGTTTTTAGTTAATGTTAACCTTACTATCTTGTTTTCTCTAGAGCTTTTTAACTTCTTACTAAACGAAAGACAAGGAAAGCAACCAGGTCAAACTTTCTGAGAAGTTCTTCAAACAAAAGTAAAAATAAAAATGTAAATGAAAATCCTAGATGATTCAAAACTCAAAAACCAAGTAAAATAAAAGCATGATCTGTAATAAAGCTTAAGAACTTAAACTTATGATAAGACTTTACATCAAAACAGTTAACTGGAAAAGTATATTGCTGAATTAATTTATTAAGCTATTTAGGCTTGCAAAGTAGAGGATGCTGTCTGATATATTTGTTCTTTTTTTTTTTTGGTGGAACCGGGGATTGAACTTAGGCCCTTGCACTTGCTCCACTGAGCCATCTCCCCAGCCCCTTGTCTGATATATTTAAGTATCATAAGTCCCACTTCCTATTTTGACAGATAAAAGAGTAAGATATGCAATGGAGGAGGCAGAAAGCAGAATCTTAAATCTGCAGGGTACATTACTTTGGTCTCCTCTGGAGAGCTGCACAGTGACTCACCAGTATGGAAGTGTTCTTTGCCTAGTTAAGGAATTGGGTATGGTACCTCAGTATTTTAAATAGTTATACTCTTCTACCTTCTCAAGTACAAATAGTTTAATCAATTTAACTACTTCAACAAGTACCTGAACTGATACAACTAGTTTCAAAGTGGCTTCTGAAAAATATTCCTAGAATTCTTGGCAGGAGAGATAGCTCACTAGAATAAGCACTTGTCTGGCAAGTGCAAGGTCCTGAGTTCAATCTCCAGTAACACACACACACACACACACACACACACACACACACACACAGAACCTTAACGCAGTTACCTTAAGTAGCTGTTTTCCAACTGTTGGGCTCATCTTTTCATCAACCATAAGAATCACAATTCCTCTGTCATCCATCCCCCTTCTTCCAGCACGACCAGACATTTGAATGTATTCACCAGAGGAAATCTGAATGAATGGAATTAAAATTCAGAGTTTAGGAGATAAAGTGATAAAAACATACTCTTAAATTTTCATTTATTACAAAATTCACAAGTACAAATTATATCCCCCAAGAAAGGAACATGATAAAAAATATGAGCTTTTAGGAGGGCTAGGAATGGGGCTCAGGATAGAGTGCTTGTCTAATATATCTAAAGCCCTGGGGTTTCATCCTTCCAATCAGAAAAAAAAAAAAAAAAATACACCAGCAACAAACAATTGTTCAGGAGTTTAAATAAAAGCACAAAAATAGACAATACTTCAGAATACTGTTGCAAACTAAATTTTAGCTCCAAGATGATTTAATTTCAAAACTAAAGTGAGTGCCTGTCTAGCAAGTGCAAGGTCCTAAGTTCCATTCCCAGTACCAAAAAAAAAAAAAAAAAAAAAAAAAAAAAAAAAAAAAAACAAAAAAACTACTGTTGCATATTTTCTTTTTTTATTTAATTTTATTGGGAAAGTAGCAATAAGACAGTTTCAAAACAGGTTAGGACAGTTACAATAATTAATACATTGCATATCGTTGTCTTCGTAGTAGTTATTCATAGTACAAGATGCAGACATGATATCTTGTCTAAACACTACCAGTTCAAGACTTTCTTCTCATTGAACTAAGAGAAAGTAGCTGTATATCTATGCTATTTCGTATTGTACATTTTCAAATATGCCACAGCTACCAGGAATACTGGCTAATGTACTAGCATAAAAAAACCCTTTCAACAGATACTTTAAAAATATTAAAGCCAAACAATAAACCAAATTCAATCAAGCACTTAATTTTTGAGAGCTTGTCTGGAGGTGCTAGCAGGGAAGTGCAGCTACTCGGGTACCCCTGACAGATGAACAGCCCCCCTCTGTTGGGGCTGGTTGTCCTCTTTGAGCGTGCAGCTTCAGGTGGGACACACATGGAACACTGAGGGAAGAAGGGGACCTGCCTAACCAGCCAGATTAGCTGAATCAACCTGGCGATCAATGGGACGACAGAAGTCACAGCCAGATCGCCCTTACATCCCCAACTACTAATTCTAGTTTCAATATAATTAAGTTTCTGAATCTGCAAAATGAGATGAACATAAAACTAACTCTTAATAAAAAGCACAATTATTGGTTTGTGTCTCTGGAGTCTGATAAAAGTTCATATATCATTAAGAACAATCTGGCAAAAACAAGGTTGGCAATCTTTCTACGTACAGGTTTTCAGGACAGCATGCAACCACCTGAACACTGGGAAAAAGTATTCATGTAAGTGATATATGTATTTTTTTTCTCCTATGAAAAAACTCTAGATTCCCATTAAAACAAAACAAAACAAAATTATGATTAAAGAAAACTTGAGGCTAAAGAAGTAAGAATGTCTGAGTCAGCGAGATAGCTCAGGGGTCTAAAGTGCCTGCTTGGGCAAGCTTAGGCAGATGCAGGGGACTGTGGTTCGACTGTGGCCCCACATGCCACGCCAGCCCCACCACCAGCCCCACTGTTAAGAGTGGGCTGAGCTGTGCCTCCAGCACAGGATGTAAGAATGTCTATGTTAATCAGGCCCAGGATTAACACCGACCTGACCACATGGGAAGCATTTTGAAAAAGCAGTGCAATGAAAAATTTCAAAGAATCCAAGAACGCTGTTACACTGTACTATACTACAATTTTAAATTTCAAAATTATGATCTCAAATCATGAAGAAAAGCTTGCTCTGTTACATTCAGCTACGTACTTACCCTTGCTCCAGGTACAAGAACCACCCTCACAAAAGAACAAAGGACACTGAGAAATCCGTAACAAAAGGTTTAGTTACCTAGTCCCATATGGAAAACCGATGGATTGTAAAGAACAAAAAATTACATTAAAATATAAAATTTAAAACCTTGGCTGCTTTCTGATTAAAAATCATACTCTAGAAATCAGACTTTTTTCAATTTAAAAAAGTTAACCCAATGGTCACAAAACAGCATCTGCACTCCATGTATTCCTTGACTTCTGTTAGAACAGGAGAACACTGGCCGTTGACAAGCAGGAAAGAGTCTGTAGGGCCTTAAACTCCACTTGCTGCATGTATTTGGGTTAACAACTCTTACAGCCTACACCAAATGCTGCCTGATTCTGTCCGACTTCTACAACTTTTTAAAGCTACTCCTTTTAATATATGGCCCTTGATCATTTAACTTGGTTTTAAAGTGAAGCGTAAGCACCAACGACTTGCTAATGTCCTGGCCCCTGCTTTCTACCAAAAGGTGGTGTTTCATCAAACAAAAGCCGTCTTCCTCAGGCAGAGAGATTTTTGATCCCTGGCTAGGTCGGGTCAGCACTTCAAACTCCAGCCTGAAGTTGCAATAAAAGACAGCTCTTCAGAACAACAAAACAAGACAGCTCTCCGGCCTCTTTTCTATCCCTTAACAATAAAGGATCAAAGTTGAAGGGAGACAGGTGAGGTAAGACAGAAGAAATAAAGGCAGGAAGGACTACAGAAAACAGTAATTTTAAAGTAATAAATCATACTTACAAAGTACTTGCAAAGTTCCCCATGATTATCTCCCTGTATTCTCTACATCTGCGTATGCTTTTTTCTTTCTAGGTCCCTCATGCCCCAAATCCCTTGAAGATATTTTGATCAATTAACAGTTTACCCCCAGCATCACTCATTATTTGGGCAGGTGTCATTGCAACCAGTTGATTTTTTGTATTTTACAAATTTGACCATGTTGTCACTTTTATATTCCTTGTCATGTACCTTGTAAAAATAAACGAAAAAATTGCAATTTTTGATCATCCTGCATTTAAATAATTGGACTGTTAAGTGGTTAAGCCCATAATTTAGCTTAGTTGATAAAGGGAAGGCAGAAATCTAATCTTAAAAGAACAGACTGAGAGTTCAAAGAACGTTTTTAGGCAAAACATTTGAGATCTCTCAGCTTAAAAAAAAAAAGCTAGCTTCATGCTTTCTACCGTAAATGGGCAGTTACATATCTGTGGGCAAGCCATCCTTCTTGTGTAAACTAAAATCAAGACAGAATTCTCTAAATTCCCAATCCCTGGGGGGTGGGGGTGGGGTTTCTCAGCCCTAAAAAATAATGCACGTCTCTCAAGGGGGCTTTTGGTGGAACCAGGGATTGAACCCAGGCCCTTGCCAGGCAAGCACTTATTCTCCTGAGCTATCTCCCTGGCCCCCTTATTAAACTTCTTTACCCCTCTTAAAAAATAAAAAAGTTCTCAAGTTATAGAAAATTTGGAAGACATAATTTCTAAAGAGAACTGGCTTGCCTCATACTTTTCATATTTTGTAATTAAGAAGATTCAAGAAAAAGTGCTTCGTCTTTCCAGTTCTTGCATGCATACTTAAAGGGTTTGATCTGTTATTACTGCTCAAAACTTCCCTAAGCATTAATAAATTTCAAACATAAAGGGGCAAGTAAAGGATTAGAGCAGTAAGTTGGTACCTGTCATTAATTGGTTCCAGAAGGAAAACAAAGTTCCAAATAATCTGTTCTGGCGGGAGGAGGCAGGGAGTCACCAGACACCTACAAGTTCTAGCTTGCACATGAACTAGCAAACAAGCACTGGAACAAATTTCCACAGGAAAATGACTTCAGCAGCACATATGATGAGCGTCAGAGCACTTAAGTACCACGGCATGCCTTGCACTGGATGCTTGTGACTGATCTCCCATCATTGGCTTTACCCTCCCAGACGTTCCACTGCCTGCGCCTGGCGAACACCCACTTCTGTTGCTGCTTATTTTAAGGGCTCCTGTGTGGAGCCTTTTCTGGCCTGTAGTGTACAACTAAGTTCCTTTCTTAAGCTATACCCTTCTATGATATTTAGACATAACATGATCAGACATATCCGTCAACTCTGACCCAATACTAAATTTCATTAAAAGGGCTGGGAGCTAACTCCCTAGACCTAAATAAATAAACAAATATTAAATTTCAGGGCTGGGGATATAGCTCAGTGGTATAGGTGACTGCCTGGCAATCACAAGGTCCCAAGTTCAATCCCTCGTACCAGAAAAAAACAAACAAATCTAAATTTCATCAAAGCTAAGATTACTTTTAGTTTTTTTGTGTTAGCACCCCAGTATCTATCTAACTTCTAGGACCATATTTTAAATGTGCTAGTTACTTTCTGAACAGAATATTTGCCTCTAGTTTCAAGATCTACTTTTTTTTTTTTTACCAGTTTACTATTTCAGGTGGGGGAGACAGCTCAGTACAATAAGCACTTGCCTGGCAAGCGCAAGGGTCTGAGTTCAATCCCCAGTTCCGTCAAAAAAAAAAAAAAAAAAAGAAGAAAAAGAAAGGGCAGTTTACTATTTCACCCAAGATCCCAACTTTCTCTGTTTCTTCTGTGTTGGAAAAGACATGTATGAAAATCTATCAGAATTTGTTTTAAACCTGGAGGGCAAAATAGTAATGTGCAACCCTAGTCATTTTAGTAGTGGTACTTTAATACCTTCCACTGTCAAAAATTCTAGATTTTAAAAAAAATTCTAGATTTAAATGTTTTAAAGCATTTGTGAATTATTTGTACATGTATTTCCCACCACTAAATTCCTTAACCTAAAGGAGTTTTACTTCTCTGCGAGGGTGTGGGAAAGGAAAAGACAGGGCAGAAATGAAAAGATCCACAGCCTCCTCTTGATGAACTTGTTACACAGCCTGAGTATTGCTTAGAACCAGGAGTATTTCAGATTTTTTACTTTTCTTCTTTGGATTTTGGAATATTTGTATAAGTGTTACCAGTAGAGCAGTCCCAATATGAAAATCTGAAATCTGTACTACAAAATCTGAAGTGTTCTGGGTATGTGCACCATTCAAATTTCAGATTCTGAACAATGTAGATTCTCATAGTAGGGAAGTTCCACCTGTATTAGGACAGTACACGTTTCTAATCATGTGAGCCAAAGTCATTTCAGATAAAACAAAGATAACACTTATTCAATATGTTAATTACTTACCCATCGGAAATCTTTCCCATCAAATTTACGGGCATTTGTAAATAAAACAGTTCTAGCTGGCATGTTAATTCCCATAGCGAAAGTCTCTGTCGCAAATAAGGCCTAAATGAATTATATAATTAAATCATGTCTTTAACACAGAAAATTTTCAAGTACAGAAAATGTCATTAATGCAAATCAGACTATTAGTATCTCTTAGCTCATAGACAAAGTTTGCACTAATATCAATTGGAGAATTTTTACACCTATATCTTGCCAGCGGCTCAGCAGCGTAAGTGCCTGCCTGGCAAATGCAAGGTCCTGAGTTCAACCCCCCAGTACAAAAAGCTATTTATTCACTAAAGAAAAACAAAGAGCCACATGTAATAAAATTCAATTAATAACCTGGGTATATAATTACCTTTTTGGTTCAAAAGTAAACCATGCATGATTTGAATGTATGCTCTTGGACATTTCTAAGAACACTGTTTTATGTATAATTAGTCTATTAGAATATTGTTATTCTTTAAAGAAAAGCCTGTAAAATTAAAACTTAAAAATTATACAAGAGCAATCCACTTTCCAGGTTCCTGTCTGTCCATCTCAGACAAAAGCTTTTTGATCTCTCAAAAAATTTCTTCCCACTCTTAAAAATTACAATGTAGAAGGAAACAATAAAGTTTTACCAGGACCCAAGTATAAATACTGACCAATTACTTAGCTTTTCAATATCCAATCTAGGGTTGAAGTTCTCACAATAAAATGCCTGTATGACTTAAAAATTTTAGTGACTTTTCATGTATAGCTATAAAATTACATTTTGAGGTTGTTAACCATTTTTATTACCACTTGAGTACAGGCATCACTGTCATATTTTTTTAAAAAAAAACTATATTAAATTCTCAATGGGTTAAATCAGAATATTCAAAAAACTTCTCCCTAAGTTTAACAAATAAATCTTTATTCTTTACATTAACCTTTTCAATTTTCATGTAGGAAGTTTAGTTACTGACAATTCCCTGTATAGTCATTAGATAGCATCTTCTCCAAAATCTTACTATATACAACAGCGGTTCACACTTCTTACTGGAACAAACTAATAATTTTTTTTTCACATACACTCCAATATTTATTAAGGGTATTTCATATAAAACCCATGTTCATTATATGAGTATTTCATAACAGTTTTTAAAGAAACAACAAAGTAATTTCCAAAGTACAAAACTGCCCACAGGAACGTGGCATAGTGGTACAGGGCATGTAGCAAACCTTGCCAGCACGGGCAAGGTCCTGGGTTCAATTCTCAACAGTGCAAAAACAAAACAAAACTAACTACAAATAATGTTCACTACCATTTTCAACATGTACACAGAACACAATTCTTGACCAAAATAAACAAAAATAAAATCGTACCTTTATCAATCCTTCAGAAAAGAGAATTTCTATTGTTTCTTTCAAAATAGGAAGTAGCCCTCCATGGTGAATACCAATCCCTCGCTTCAAAAGAGGAAGTACATGTTCAACCTGCAATTTTGGAGTAACATTTATAACAACATCAGGAAAAGGGAATTTAAGAATATTAAGCTCACTAATTAAGAAAAATAGGTAATTAAACAAGAAATAACTTTTGTTTAAAGAAACTGCTGAGAAAAGCTTTTCAGAATAAAATTAAAACCCAAACCAACATTCCCACAGCATAATAAAAACGTAACAAAATTCTGGCTTAGGTTTCTTTAACCTAAACACATAATCCCATTTAAGTAAGTTTTACAAATGATTTCTTTTTAGCACAGGGTCTCACTAGGCAGCTTGGACTCATAGTGATCCTGCCATCTCAGCCTCCCCTGCTCCGTGATTACAGGCATGCGCCACCATGCCTGGACTTGTCGCTGGCTCAGCGTGCCAGGGGATAGGGCCGGCATGGCATGTGGTACCAGGGATCAAACCCCGGTCCCTTTGCCTGCCTAAACAGATGCTTAGTCCACTGAGCTACCTCACCAGCCCTACAAATGCTTTGTCTCTTCAAACTTTTCACTATCATTTTTTCTCCCCAAAATTAATAAGCCATGACTGCAACACTTGTATCTCTGTAAAAGGGCCCGGAAGGGGCTTTGACCCTGTAGTTCCAGCTACTTGGGATGCAGAGGCAGGAAAAAAAAAAAATCACTTGAGTTAAAAGACAGCTTTTATTTCTTCTTTTTTTATGTATTTAGTACAGTGTCTTACTACACAGATCAGATTCACAGTGATCCTCCTGTTTTCAGCCTCTCAAACAATAGGATTATAGGTACGCAACACCACACAGTCTCACTTGCCATCTCAGCGTACCCAAAGGGCAGGGCTGAAATGGCATGCCAGAAATCAAACCCCGGTCCCTGCATATTAAAAGCCAGGTTTTGGGGCCAGGGAGATAGCTCAGTAGAATAAGCGCTTGCCTGGCAAAAGCAAGGGCCTGCAATCCCTGGTTCTGCACTCCTCACCAAAAATAAATAAATAAAACAAAAGCCAGTTTTTAACACAGTAAGACTCTTCCTTTTTAAAAATAGGCTAATCAATTCAAAATATATTGGATAAAACATATTTAACATAAACATGTATTTTATTTAAAAACAAACATTCTCCAAAAGATCATTAAAATACTATCACTAACATGCTAGGGTAAAGATATAAAGAAATAACTCAGTCCTTTAGTACTAGTAATTCAGCTGGGAAGGAGAACAATAAAATAATTTTAAATAACATTTTAAATGTCAAGAAGCATCCTACTGTACTCATGGTGGGCCCTTCTCCAATTAAAGTGTTCATTCATAGCAGCAAAATTTTTCTTTCATGCAATATATCTTTCATGCATTTGGTTGGTCTAAAGCACTTCTCAGCTTTGTATCAGCATAATCATGTGGGAAGCTTTCAAACGATTATAAAATCAGGATATAAACTAGACCAGTTATATCAAAATACAGGTATTGCAGCGAAGTATCAGCCTATTGCATTATTCTCAGGTAATTTCAATAAAAAAAAAAAGCACTTGTGAACTTTCTTACAAACACTTTTTTTTCATTTGGTGTACTCTATTTTATTTGGCAGTCTTTAAGAACTGAGAACTTAAATGGCTTAAAATTAGCCCTGAAGCTAAGCAGTAATTTCTAGACCATGCTAGCTTTTCTTTTATTATCTGTTTAATGTATTTGGTTGTTACATTGTCTCACTACACAGCTCGAACTCGTAGTGATCCTCCTGTTTTCAGCATCCCCAGCACTGGGGTTACAGGTGTGTGCCACCACGCCCGGACTCTGTGGCTGGCTCAGCCCACCCAGTACATGGTGCCAGGGACCGGGGATTGAACCTCGGTCCTGCACTTACCTAAGCAGGCGCTTTAGTCCACTGAGCTATTTCACCGGCCCCTATGCTAGCTTTTAGAAAAATGTACCTTTAGGGAGCAAAATCTTTCCTAGCAGTTTCTCAGCAGGTTAAATTATGAACTAAAGTTACTTCAGTACGTATTGCAATACGTGTGCTGTGGTGTACAAACAGTACAACATAGCAACGAAACTGAGAACAGTAGTTACCACACGCTATGTATTAATATTCATATTGGTAATATTCATACTGGTAATAAAAATTCACCTGAGGGAGCTTTTTATCTTCATCAGACAAGCAGTCAATTGCATTGCTGAATACTTCTTCAACCATCTTCTTTTCTTCATCTAGGAGAAAATACAAGGACACATTTTTTTTTTTTTTTGGTGGGATCGAACTCAGGCCCTTGCGCTTGCCAGGGAAGCGCTTAGTCCACTGAGCCATCTCCCTGGCCCCAAAGGACACATAAATTTTAAAATGAGTCAATGAATGATACCAAACTTCACACATTTCCAAGTATAAGTCTATAGAGAATAAAAGTAAAGAATGAGTATTTAAGATGGACAGAAAGTTGATCAAAAGCACCACAAAACGAATAAAATTCACTGCCTTTCAATATGAAATAAGGTAAATAAAAATAGTACTAACTACACTAAGTGCTTCACAAAGAATATTTAACTCTAATAACTACTGAACACAGGAACTACTATTATACCTATTTTGCAACTAAGGAGAGTGAGGTGAAGTACAAATAGCACTGGTATTAACTTCTAGTAGTAACAATTCCAGAGTCCATTCTTTCAGATATTACACTGCTTTCTTGTCCTATATCTAAAAAGTACTAGGTACTCAACAAATATTGGTTGCAGTAATCAATAGATAACCCCCAAATTTAAGTCTATTTGGCATCAGTAAAGAAAAATCATTTCTAAGCAGAGGAATTCACTCATAATATATAAAAATTACTGGCCATAAAAGGGTATTCAGGTTATCTGCCATTTTAGTTTAACCCACAGAAAAGGATTTCCTTAGAATCCATAGCATACCTGCTTTGATTCAACACAACTGCAGTTTGGTTTTGAATGAGTCAACACACCACCAGTTAACCTCAGAACTCTGGGAGGCTGAGGCAAAAGGATTTCAAGTTCAAGCCCCGCCTGGGAAACTTAGTGAGACCCTGTCTCAACATAAAGTATTAGAAAAAGTGCTGGCAATGTAGCTGTTACGGTTTGTGTCTAGGTGTCCCCCCCAAAGTCTCATGCTGTCTTGGGGTGGCTTCTGGAGTTTGTGATTGATTACTGTGGGTATGGTTGCTGCACCTGCCCTGGGGCAGGTAATTTGCATTACAATGTAAGGTGGGAAGAGAAGCTAGCTGCTTGAGCTGCTGCTACCCCTCCCTTGCACTCTTACTCTTTGCCACCACCAGGAAAGGTTGCTTTTTGCTCTGTGCTGCTCTGTGTTGGACCCAGCTGAGTGTGGACTGAAACCTCCAGTAACTGTGAGCTAAATAAACCTTTCCTTCCTTCATTTTGAGTGTCGGGTATTTGTTCCAGCAATGAGAGAAGAGTAACTGAGATAGTAGCTCAGTGCAAAAGCCCTGGGTTGAATCCCTAGAACTGGGAAGAAAAAGGCACTACTTCTCACAATATAGAACTGCAAATTCTAGAGGCAGAACCTAATGACAAGTAAGCTAGCAGTTAGCACGCTGCAATTTATAGCCAGGCTGTGCTTCTATTCTGGCTGTGCGACTTCACATGAGGTACATTAACAGTCAATGTATGTTTTCTACACGTTTCATCACTTTGAGCATTTCAGTACAGTTAAGCAAAAGGCAGGTTTTCTAGTTTGACTTTCTCAAGCAATGATGACAGTCTTTTCTCTAAGAGAAGATATTCTGACCAGGGGACCTACCCTTAAAAGAGTAAGAGAAAGCTGGAGATGTGGATCACTGCTTTTTGCCTAGCAAGAAAGAACTTGAGTAGCATGCATGAAACCAACCAATCCCTGTTGAAACTGGGCCAAGAACTACAGTAATGAAGTATAAGAAGGTATGATCTAATGTTTCTCAGCATTGTTCTATGAACTGAACATATGGCTGTGTACTTGCATCATTTGTAAGGGAAGAATAAATTATAAATCAAGGCCTCTTAAAGCCTACATGTGCTGAATGTCTACTGCTAACAGTAAAGAGCACAGAGTACACTGGTACATTACGAGAAGTAGATGCTCCGTCCATTCTCACACACCACTAGGACGGTGGAAATTACGCAGTACCTGTGTTGAAATCCAGCTTGGTCATCTGTAGAGCATAAGCTTCACAATCTTTCTTACTAAAACTGAAAATAATTACAGGCTGAAAATTTCTTTCCATAATCATCTTTACAATCTTGAACACATTTGATGGTCCTGTAAAAAAGATCAGATTAGCTCTACACGAAATGAAACTCAAATGGAAGACAAGCCTAATTGCAGCTAAAAGTATAAAACTTGTAAAATATAGTATAAAATCTTTATTGTTCTGGGTTAGACAATGCATTCTTGGCTATTATACCAAAAGGTGAAGCAACACAGGGGGAAAAATGTAAAATTAGATATAATCAAAGTGAAAAACTTCTGTGCCTTAACAGACCTATCAGTAAAGTAAAACACAGAGAATGGAAAAAAATATTGCAAATCATCTATCTGATAAAGGTCAAGTAATATAAAAAGAACTTTTCAACTCAACAAAAAAATCAAATTTACAAATAAACAAAAGGATTAAAACAAATCCTACTCCAAATATATACAAATGGCCACAGAACACATAAAAAGATGCTTACTGTCACTGGCTACAAGGGAAATCTGAATCAGAACTACAAGCATTACTTCATGCACACTATAAATCAACTGACACACAATAATAAGTACTGTCAAAGACCTGGAAAAATGGAACCCTCTCATATGTTCCAGAAAGGAATGTAAAATGACACTTGCCTAGCACACATGAAACTCACAATTTGGTAATATTCATAAAGTAAGAAAGACTTTCCATATGACTCAACAATTTCACTCCTAGATTCATTCATACACATGAAAAAGAGAACTCAGGTATTCCTACAAAAACCTGTACTACATGCAAGAATATATACAGCAGCATTATTTAGAAGTCAACAACCAAATGTCCTTTTACTGGTGAATGAAAATATAAAATGTGGCATATCTACATAATGGAATACTATTTGAGTATAAAAACCAATTAATCATGGTGTAACAGAGATGAACCTTAAAATCGTTATATTAAGGTAAAAAAAAAATCAATCACAAATGATTATTTTTATATGAAATATCCAGAAAAGGCAAATCCATAGCCAAAAGGTAGGTAAGTGACTGCCCAAGGTCAGGGTGAGTAAGGAAGGGGATGTGAACAACCACAGATAGAGATGGGCTTCTCCTGGGGCGAGGGGCTTGCAAAAATGTCTTGGAATTAGAGAGTGGTGATGGCTACACGTCTTTATGAATACATTAAAAACTACCAAGTTGTATATTTTAAAGCAGTGAACTTGACCAGGGAGATAGCTCAGTAGAATAAGCGCTTGCCCACCAAGTGCAAGGGCCTGAGTTCAAGCCCCGGTTCCACCAAAAACAAAACAAAACAAAAACCCTCAGTGAACTTTATGGCATGTGAATTGTATCAGAATAAAAAAAGTTAATTATGGTGATATTTACTTAACTATGTGAATATATTAAAAATCACTGAATACAGGTGAATTATATATTGTAAATTTTATCTAAATTGATACCATGTAAGAAAGAGATCAACGTTTATCCATTCTACTTTGTCACATTCCATTAGATCTTTAGCTTCACGAAAAAAACACTAAAGACCAAATGCCATAATAATTTGAAAATACAATTTACAAGTAAAACAATCTATAAAGAAAGTTCCAATTACCTTTGGTTCCTCCTTTCCGTCCCTTCTGGTCCCCTTTTGCCAAATCTCCTGCATCTCGAAGCACTTGCATGGCAGTATTAAAATTATCTTCTCTGAAGTCACCCTGGAATCACAGACTTTTTTCCCCCTCTGTTTCTTCATGAATGTTTAATCACAACTCAAACATTTCTCATGCCTCAAAATTACAAAGCTTTCTCAAATAATAAAAAAAAATTAATAGAATAACAGGAGTCAGGCGCCAGGGAGATAGCTCAGTAGAGTGCCTGCGTGACAAATGCAAAGTCCTGAGCTTATTTCCCAGCTACAACCAAAAAAAAAATCATAAAATAGCAGAAGTCACTAAAACAGTTTAAAAAATAATAGTGCTGAGGTAATAAAATGTGATATGGAGAAATGAAACTGGGAATGTAAAACATAAGACAGACATCTACCAAACACATCTGGAGCCTTGGTTCTCCAGTGTTTTAAATATTGGACAAGCAAATTCATGCATAAGAAAAACCACAAGTCTCAAATATAATTTTTAGGAGGGCTGGCCAAATAGCTCAGTGGATTAAAGCACCTTCAAGCAGGCTCATGGGCCAGGGTTTGATCCCCAGGCCTGATGTGCCGACCCCACCCCCAGGGCACCCTGAGACAGTGATTGAGACTGCGCGTGCTGGTGTGCACCTATAATCCCAGCACTTGGGAGGCTGAAAATAGGAGGATCACTATGAGTCCAATCTACATAGTGAGACTCTGAACACCCTGTAGACCCTTCCCTAAAATACAGAAAATATAAATAAATAAATAAATAAATAAAATATAATTGTTCTTTATTCATTTCCATGAGCTGGGATCTCGCTATGATGCAAGGGTAGCTGCAAACTCCTCGAAACCAGTAATCCTCCTACCCTGGCCTCTTAGGTAGCTGGACCCACAGGTGTGTGCCACCATGCCCAGGATCAAATATAATTTTTGAAATATGAATATATTCCAAATAAGTCAATTTTTGACTATAAAATTACTTTAGACGAAAGAGTACCTTCCTGAGTCATTTCCAACTCAAAATTAATAAAATTAAAATATAAATAATAAAGTATGATATTATAGATGGAAAAAGTATGTTATAGATGGAAGAGTGGCAATTAGTAGACAATAGTTTCTTACATTTTCATCAACCACAAGGTGAAGGCCATCTCCCCCTGCTGGGAAAATGTAGTGCTGCAGCGGAGTGGGTCGATAATCTGTGTAAATTACATGACAAGGCTGTAAAAAGAAAGAAAATTTTATGTCTGCAAAATAAAATTTTATATTTGAGGTACCCAAGAGACCTTGAGAAAATAAAATGATTAAAACAATGAAAAAGAAAATATTTTAAAAACCGTTTTTAAACTAGGAAAAGTACAATTAGGCGTATCAGATCATATTATCAACTTTGAAGTTCTGAGTTCTGTACATGAAGCCAAATACATGATCTAAACTTGAATGATCTATTACCTAGATAAGGCATCCTGTAAATACAGACAATGCCTCTGTTTTTATAAAGAGCTTTATGGCCAGGGAGATGGCTCAGTAGGATAAGCGCTTGACTGGCAAACGCAAGGATCTGAGTTCAATCCCCGGTTCTGCTAAATAAATAAATAAATAAATAAATAAATAAATAAAATGTCTGGGGGCCTGGCCTTAGCTCAGTTGTTTAAGTGGCTGCTTCCACAAAGCGTCAGGTTCCAGTTGCTGTAGTTCAATCCCCACAACACTTCAGCCAGCCATAACACCCCTGAGGGCATTCGGAGCAAAAAAAAAAACAAAAAAAAAAAACCTTATAAAGAGCTTTATGGTAATAAAAGGATTTCTAAGGTAAAATGAACTTTTGCCACAGAGGATTTTCAACTATATTGAAGTAGCAGGTTATTCTATCTCTTCTAGCAAATGAGTTTCTAGCCTACAAAACAACATGGGGAATGTTACAAAACCATTCCTATAGAGTTCATATTGTTTATCACAAAATTAAGTTTATGAGGACATCTGGGTAAAGGAAAAGACAATGGCATAAAAATAAAACCAATAAAAAATTTAGCACATGTAAATAAATGCTTGTCACAGTAAACAGATGCTTGCTACACAGTCCGATACCAAACTCCATTACTAAAGCAAAACAGAGTCAGCAAAAATCTGTTTCTAAGGAAAAAAAACATCACATCAAGCCAAATACTCAAGCAATGACTAGCTTTTCCTGGTACTAAGGCCTAGAAAAGACTGTACTGGACTCATGGCTCACTGACACAGTGATACAGTAATTTCTAAAGCTAGCAGATCACTTCTGAAAATCAGATTTGCAAGGCCCTCCATACTCCCACAAACTTAAACGTACTGGTTTTGAGATGGGTCTCAGAAATTAGCATTTCTAAAAATAACTTGATTTTGATAAGCTGACTGATATCAACAGTAGTTCCATATTAAAATGTCTTCTGTATTCTGAATAGCACTATGAAAAAAGTACAGGAAGGCAAACATAAAATTTTTGAACAATGAAGTCATTAAAATAGAGAACAAAAATACCTGTTTATGTAAATGACAAATCCACTCAGCAAACTGTCGGGCATTTGGAATGGTAGCCGAAAGAAAGACATAGTGGACATTATCAGGAAGCAAAATAATCGTTTCCTCCCATACCACACCACGCTCTGAAAAAAATAAATACACCTTGAAATTCTCTGCCATTTCAGAGGCAATACCTTTCTCTTACGTTTAGTAATTAAGACCTGCTGGTGGTGGTGCCTGCCTATCTAGCACTCAGGAGGCTCAGGCAGGAGGACCACGGCAAGTTCAAGGACAGCCTAGGCTACATAGTTAGTTCAAGGCAAGTCTGAACTACAAAGCAAGATCCTGTCTCAAAAACTACAAAAGTTAGGGCTGGGGACATAGCTCAGTGGTCTGACAAGCGCAAGGACCAAAGTCACTACCCAGTACTGCATGCCATGCCAGCCCCAGAACTCTAGGCATGCCTTGCTGGCCACTGAAATGAGGAGTGGTGCATGCCTATAATCCCAGTGCTGGGGAGGCTGAGACAGGACAATCACTACAAGTTCAAGCTGCAGAGTGAGACCCTGTACCAAATAAATAAATAGAAATGCAAAATTTATAAAATTTAATAATTAAATATGCAGACAACTTTACAAGCATATTTTTAGCCACAAAACCAGAAACTGTAGTCTTCATCATGAATCTAGTTAGTACACTAAACCACCATAAATATAATTTACTCTAAAACAACCTTCAGGGGCCAGCCAGATAGCTCAGTGGAATAAAGCGCCTGCTTCGGCCTGCCTGCGTTTGATTCTGGGTGTGCTGTGCTGACCTCGCCCCTGGGGGGCACTGAGATTGCAACTGAGACTGAGTGTGGTGGTGCGCTCCTGTAATCCCAGCACTTGGGAGGCTGAAAACTGGAAGATCACTATGAATCTGATCTATGTAGTGAGACCATGTATTCCCTGTAGAACCTATACCAAATGTATAAAAAATAAATAAATAAAACAACCCGCAGGGCTAGAGATGTGGCTCAGTATCAGGAGCATTTGCCTTGCGTGCATAAGGTTCAATCTGTAGCACCACATATATAAACAAAAACAAAACCTGCAAAGCGTAGGTTCATGATGCGTGTCAGCCCATGCCTGTAATCCCGGTACTTCGGAGGCTGGGGCAGGAGGATTGCTGCAAGTTCAAGACCAGCATGAGCTACCAAGTGAGCTCAAAGCCATGAACTGCATGGGGAGACCTTGTCTCAAAAAAAAAAAAAAGACAGCAGATTCAAACTGAATCTCTTTCTTTCTTTCTTTCTTTCTTTCTTTCTTTCTTTCTTTCTTTTT